TCTACGGGTGGGTGGGAGGTTCCTTCTTGTCCAGCTAGTTTCGTCTCACCACCATTGTTTCCAATGGAGGTTTTGGTTTTCATCAAGAGTCGCCAGCTTGCATGAGGGATCCAGCCGTTCCTGTTCGAACGTATGGATTCGTTGCCTTTTCTTGGTGGCGTCAGTCGTGGTCTTTAGAGATTCTTTGAGGTCTTTCCATGTGTATGTCAAATACAGGACTCGAACACACAACTCTCGGCTCGGCAGGCAAACGCCTAATCATAAGGCTAAGTGGGCTGGGGTGAAAGAGAAGCCCCAAGATGAGCACTTCACCTCACCCCAGCACGGAGATCCCGCATCACGGTGTACTCAACGACACTCATCCTACACAGCCACACCCGTAGTATAATCTCTACGGTGGTTACTGCGTGAAAGCACGTGTATGTTTGTTCTGATTGTGTCTATGATGTGGGCTCTCGCTTGTGGCAAGCCAGAAGTATGTTGTTTTCGTTCGTGAGCGCACCGGGCTCGCCAGGCTGTCATCAGGACTTCCAGGCGAGTATAGTTGAAGAGGGTGTGTTGGAAGGTGGACCATGTCTGCTGGGCAGACGCTGGTAGGTCCAATAACAATGTCACAGCGTTCCGTGGGAGGTCTATGCCTGTGAGGTGCCTCCACACTGCATCCCATCACCGCCAAGTCTGATTGACCACGGGGCAGTCCAGGAGACAGTGCTCCAGGTCTACCCGCTGCTTTTGCGTAGATAGCCCGCAAAAGGTACAGAGGGGAGATGTTCAAGTGAGGATCTTTGACACAAGCCAGTCCGGTGTCGGGAGGCACCGGTATACAATCTGCCATTGCAGCGTTCTCTGGGAGGTGGGCATTATGCACGTGTAATGTGACCAGCGGAAGTTTTGAAGGGACGTTGTTGGTAAAGCGGAGTCCATTTGCCAACGGTTTTTGACTATGTCTGTGGTGTCAACTGCCTTTTGCTCCCCACGAATAGATTGGAGTAAATTGTCCCAAAAAAAAAAAAAAAAAAAAAAAAAAAAAAAAAAAAAAAAAAAACATAGCTAAAAACAAACAAACAACAAAAAAAAAAAAAAAACTGCCTTTTGCACCTTTTTGTAACAGCCTTTGACCGTAAAGGGGCAGCCTGTACCTGTCTTAGGTGAATTCTTCTTTTTTTTCTTTTTTCCTTCCTTTTTTCCCCCCTTTTCTTCTTTAGTTGTTAGATTCCCTACCCCCCAATTCTTGTGGCAAAGAGGAGGCAGGTCTCCTATGGCTGTGGCTCCATGTGGTGCTGTATCTCACCATGTTCCAGAGGAAGATTCATCTGGTGAATGCAACTGCTTAGGGCTTGGCCCTACCACGTGCTACTGCGGCCCGTTGCAGTTGCAACGCGCGAACTTCGAGGGATGCTCACACCAGGGAGAAGGGAAAAAAGAAAGAGACAACTGCGCCTGTGACCGCTGCACAGCTCAGAATTCGCAGAAATAACAGTCCACTGCACGCTTGGGCGAAGACCAGTTAGAAACTGCAAGAAAAACAGTAAATCATGCGTTCGACGGCCTACCGGTTCAATAATTGGCAAAAACGAGAGGTGGCGGTAGTGGTACCGCTTTTTTCCCGTGGCCTGGCCTGGGAGCAGTTATCGGTAGCAGGCCCTCCCGTTTTTGGCTCGGTTCGCCAGGGGTGTGGCCCAGCCACGGGGCGTGGCCTAGACATCTCGCTCTTGGCCCAGCCACGGGTGTGGCCTAGTAGACAGCTTGGCCATGGCATAAGCAGGTGCGAAAAAAAAAAAAAAAAAAAAAAAAAAAAAAAAAAAAGGCCACAGGCACAATACACCTGCCAGGTAATGTTTGTTTTTGCCTTTTTGAACTCCGACAACATCAATTTCAAGTATGCCATGTTTTTCTTGCCATTCTGAACTAAAAAGGTGACCCACGAGCTGTTTCCCCTTTTTTCTTTTTTTTTCCCTGGGGCTTCATAACCTACTACGCAGCTTACCTGTGCACCAGTCTTTCATGCCCACACCTCAATTTGCAAGATTTCTTCATTTAAAAGGGTACATCTTCATTTAAAAGGGTGTGTACCCCCCTTCAAACTCCTTTATGCAACAGTTACTTCAACTTACTTGTGTACACCATTCAGCAATATGCCTTACAACTTGCAAGATTTGACTGTGTAGATATCCTCCTTCTTTGGTAACTAACTGTTCAAGGTGTCTAAGGGTGAGGCCTCACCCTTTTTTCCTTTCTTCTTAAACCACCAGTACTTCCTTTTTTTTTTTTTTTTTTTTTTTTGATACCACCAGTACTTCCAAGCCTCGATATTATGAAATGTACGGGTCATTACAGGAGCGCCCAAATTCATCCGACTAGAAACTTTTCTACTCTATTTTTTTTTCACTAGAAACTTTTCTACT